AAAAACTATGTACCAAACTTTTCATTACTGAATTGATTACTTTTTATTGTTGTTTATGCAATATTGTAAAATTTATACTATTGTTCAATTTTGTCTACTCAGAGCAATAGTAATATATGTATTATTCGATCAATTGTTCGATGTCTCATTACATATTGTGAAATGGTCATAATATTGTGAAGCATTTCATTCTACTATTCTACAATTTAATACGTAATAATAAAGAAATTTCACTAATTTAAAAAAAAAATTAACAAAAGAAATCTCGATAGTGTGAAAATTTGTCAACAATTTGGTAAAATTCTAAAACAAAAATTGAAAATTCGGCTAAATTCTTGACAATTATTGAATTGTTAAGGATTTGGTTCAAATTTTGCTGAATCTTTGACTGTCAAGGATTTGACAAGAGGTCTTTGACAGTTCAAAAACTGTCATATCCCTTTTTTGACAGGGGTTACAATGATAGTTCAAAAACTGTCATTGTACCCCTTTCTTAATGGGGAATCCCTGTTAAGAAGAGTCTTTTTCCTTGTAGTGAGGGTTGTTAACAAATCTCAATCACAGAAACTTCAGCTTTAAAATCTGAAATAAATCTGAATAATTCATTGAATAACATCCAAAACAAAAAATAAGTTTATATAAGGTGACAACTAACCCTAATAAGACTCCTAATAACAAAAGGAAACAAAATCTAAATTAATTAAAACAAGAAAACCCCAAATAAAATAGAAGAAAATGCGCACACAACTAAAACAGTCCCAAAACATGCCAAAACGGCGGATTTTTCCCTTGAAAATGACCTCCAATCAGATAAAGTGGGTTTCGACATCGACAGGCTCGAAAAAATCTTTCCGTCGATATCTTATGAGCCCTATAACGCCTCTCGGATCAAAAGTTATGGTTGTTTGAATGAGACATGCTCATTTAGGACCTTTAGGCTTTACGTGTGGACTTCTGACGCTCAGCCCGCTCCATGAATTCATCCGCCTAGCCCGCTCCATGAATTCATCCGCCAAACGTTCTACGTCAGTCCCCTCCACTTGAGAAAAACTTGACCCCAAGTTAAGTTGGGCATTGAGATACAAAGGTTCGTCAAAAGAGTGAAATGGGTAAATATCTGCCACGTTAAATGTCTTAGAAATTCCCATTGTGTCTGGCAGATCCACAACGTAGGCATTGTCATTGATCTTTGCAAAACCTGGTAAGGCCCATACTTCTTAGGCTGCAACTTATAATAAGTCCTTACTAGAAATCTGTCCTTTCGAAGAAACACTAGGACCTAATCCCCAACTTCAAAAATTTGTTTTCTGCGATGTTACTCTGCAGCTTTCTTATACTTGGTATTAGCTTGCTCTAACTTCCATTTCACCTCTGCTTGAACATCTTGCCACTAAGTAGCCATATTTTCTGCAATTGCACTAACACCAGGGACTTTCGATAGTTTGATCAAGTCGAGAGCATGCTGCGGGAGCTTGGTGTACACAACTGAAAAAGGAGACTTCCTTGTGGCGCTATGAGTAGTGCTGTTGTAGGCAAATTCAGCCTACGATAAAGCTACATCCCATTGTTTTGGTTTATCGCCACAAATACTTCGAATCAAATTGCCAAGAGTTATGTTCACAACTTCAGTTTAACCGTCAGTTTGTGGATGAGTAGTACTGCTGTAATTCAGAGATGAATTGAACTTCTTCCACAATGTTCTCCAAAAATGGCCAAGGAATTTGCTATCTTGATCGGAAGTAATAGATTTAGGTACTCCATGCAAATGAATAATCTCCTTGAAAAACAATTTGGCAATTCTGTTTGCATCTTGTTGGAGTAGATGCTCTAGAGCCAATCAATTATTGTAGAATTGACGCTTTGTAATAATGTTTATTAATAAATAAAGAGACATTTTCTACTATATCATGTAAATCATATCTGTATGTATTGATATATGTCCTTAGGATGGTGAAACTATGACGAGGGTATCAAGTCTTTCAAATCTTGATAGTGAGAACCCTATGATCACATATGGTGGTCATTCTAGAAATGTCCATAGCCCCAGTATTATTCTGACTAAAGAAACAGATAATACGGTAAGACTATCGTCGTGTTGAACGACCCTATCAAAAGGTAGTGACTGATCTCACTTGTCAAGTTTGTTTGCCGACAACCTAGTGCAACACATGAGTGCTTGCTGTAGGCAAGTTCATTGGACTGACCCACCAGAGGATTCTATATAGATGGTAACCTTAGTGTCTATGGAACAAATCATCTAATGAATGGTGGTACATGTGATCCTTAGACTTGAGATCATCGAAGCACCTTGTGCAGCGATTGGTGTAGTTTGACACTAGCCCAACGTAATTCTATTCAGAGGTATCAATACGGTAGTGATTGGCTGCATCAAGGAGTTTGTCAAGACTATGGTGGATCGACAGATGATTCATCACTCCCGAGTATGGGAGAAGTTATCTTACAGCGTAATTCAATGTATGACAATGACACTAAAGTTGTGGCCACAGTAGGATTGAGTTGTTGCTCAATCCAATTTATTTATTCGGTCATTGGTCCAGTAATTGAATATAAAGATATCGAGAGTAACCGAGGTTGACACTATTTATGTACCTCACTGTCGACATGATGAAAAGCTTACGGGTCACACACTTAGAAGATAATTTAAGAATCGTTTTGTTCAAGGGGTATTTTTGTCTTTTAGGACGAAAATGTATTTTGGTAATCTCACAGTGTAATTAAATTTATTGAGGTTGTTGACTGTATTTAATTTAATGTTAAAATTAAATTAGTGAGATTATATTTAAATATATGTATGCATATATTTAAATAAATTATTATTATTAATTAAATGTTAATATATTAATTGATTTTAATTATAATAATAATTAATTAAATATAAAATACCATTGCAAGAGTGTTTGGATATAAGGGTGGATTAGGGTTGGAGCCCATACCTATTCCATATAAGAATAGGGTTTTAACTCTAGCACTATATAAGTGCAAGTTGAGTTAAAAATATTCATTCATAATTCATTCAATCATTATTGAATAGAAAAAGGCAACCACCCCTTTACTCTCGCTCTCTCACGTTTCCCTTTATGTGAATCAAAGTTTTTCTTTGATTCAACTTGATTCTTGAAGCCACCCCTTTGTTCTAGCAAAACAAGGGCTGGTTCTTCGGATTGTCTTCGTATGGATCACCGTTCGTGCGGTTCTGCGTTGAATCAGTAGCGAATAAAAATTTATAGACATTTGAAGAAGTCTCCAAACATGCGTAAGATCTTTGATCCTTGAATGGATTGATATTTTTTGTGTGCAGAATTTTGATTTAACATGTAAACTATATAATCTATACTCAGATCTTGGCATAAAAGGAATCGATTCATCCTTTTGATCTTTGTTTTTCCGCTACGTTGGGTAGATCGATTCCTAACACATCTAGACATCTTTTTACAATGAATAAAGTGCGCCATCTTAGAAAGCTTGTTAACCACAACAAAAACAGAATCTACGCCCTTTGTATCCAAGGCAATCCAAGCACAAAATCCATAGATAAATCCTCCCAAATATTTTCTAGAACAGGTAAAGGCATATACAAACCAGTGTTTTGAGACTGCCCCTTGGCAGTTTGGCATATATAACATCGCTGCACAAACCTTGTCATGTCTCTCCTCAGATGTGGCCAATAATATCGATCACCCACAATAGCAAGCGTTTTGTCATGCCCTAGGTGACCAACAAGACATCCACCATGCAAATCTCGAATAAGCTTCTCTCCCAAGAAAATTTTAGGGATTCAAAGCTGGTTGCCTCGAATGAGAAACCTATCATGAATGTGAAAATCTTCAGCAGGTTGGTTTGTAACACACTGCTCTAATATTTTCTGAAAATCTTCATCCGTTTCATATAGTTCCTTCCCTATCTCAAACCCCACAACTTCTTGTGTCATGGTCACCAATAAATTAACATGTCCACTCAATGCATCTACTACTTTATTCTGTATTCCTACTTTGTGTCTTAACTTGAAAGGAAACTTATGTAGAAACTGAGTCCACCTAGCATGCATGTCTCTACTAATTTGCTTCTGACTATTTAAATACTTCAAGGCTTCATGGTCAGAGTATAGAACAAACTCACACCCCATTAAATAGTTCTCCCAAGTCTTCAAAGCATGCACAATAGAATAAAACTTCCATCATACATAGCCCATTTATGCCTTGCATCATTGAGTTTCTCACTTAAATAAGCTACTGGTCTCTTATTTTGTGAAAGGAAAGCTCATATTCCCACACCACCAGCGTCACACTCAACTTCAAACAAGGCCTCAAAATTGGGTAGTGCATAATTTCTCCTTTAACACAGCAAAGCTAGTTTCAGCTTCCTCACTCCATTGAAACTTCATTTTCTTTAGACATTCTATAATAGGTGTTGCAATACTACTAAAATTTCTAATCAAACGCCTATAGAAGGTCGCCAACCCATGAAAACTTCGGACATCCTTTATTGTTTTTGGGGTAGGCCACTTCCTAATTGCTCGAATCTTGTCTTCATCCACTTGAATACCATTTGCCCCAACAATATAGCCTAGGAACAACAACCTATTTGTCATAAAACTGCACTTCTTCAGGTTCACATTCATCTTGTTTTTTTGTAAAACTATTTGTATCTCGTGCAAGTGTTGAATGTGCTCTTCGTCTGCTTGACTATAATTCAGAATATCGTCAAAATAAACAACTACAAACTTTTCAATAAAAGGTTTCAATACCCAATTAATTACTCTCATAAAAGTACTTGGCATGTTTGTCAAACCAAATGGCATCACAAGCCATTCATACAAGTCCTCCTTTGTCTTAAAAGCTATTTTCCACTCGTCCCTATGTCTAATTCGAATATGGTGGTATCCACTTCACAAATCAATCTTTGTCAACACTTGTGCCCCATGTAACCTATCAAGCATGTCATCCAGCCTAGGAATTGGAAACTTGTAACTTATAGTAATTTTATTGCTGGCCCTGCTCTACACACATCCTCCAACTCTCGTCTTTCTTTAGCATTAATGAGGTAGGAACTGCACATTGACTCATTCTCTCTTGGATGTACCCCTTTGTTAATAATTCTTCCACCTTTTCTTTTAGAATCTCGCTCTCCTTTGGACTCATCCAATAATGAAGTAGGTTCGACAAACTAGCTTCAGGAATTAGATCAACGTGGTGATGAATATCCCTCATAGGTGATAAATCGTCAAGTAAATCCTCTGGCATCACCTCACTAAATTCTTCTAACAATGGCTTGATTGCTTCTAGGTACTCTTTTGTGTTCAACTCCCCTTCAGTGGTCAATACTTGCTTCACAATTAGTTCATACATCACCCTTGACGCTTTGAAAGCAACTACTAACTCTGTCCCAGAATGTGTAACAGTAAAGAAGGTCCGCTCCTCCACTTTAGAAGCTTTGGTTTTGGAACTCTTTTTCATTGGCATCAAGGTGAATTTGACACCATCTTTCTCCAACTTATAGGTATTTTCTCTCCCATCATGTTGTGCTACCACATCGAATTGCCAAGTGACGATTACCATCTGGCTTAGAATTTTGGCTTAAGGTGGAAGTTGCTGAAACTTGAAGAGACATTTCACTATTTTAGTTCTAGTTGGTGATAATGTAGTTTGTTTAGTGGCTTCTAGTGCTTCAAAATTTCAGGGGCTAGTGTGATAGAATTTGAGGTCGGCCTGACTCCTCACCCAATAAGTCATTGTTAAATGAGAGGGTTATCCCCTTTATAAACCAGTAGGCTTGAGCGTGCCTAGTCGGCGTGAGACTCCAACACTCTGCCTCACGGTCAAGCCCATATGTTGGGTCATACCTGTTAATAGAGGTAGTTATTGGCTCTAACTCCTCACCTACTAGTCAAGCACTAAGCTCAACTGGGCCTAACTCTAATACCATGATAGAATTTGAGGTAGGCTCGACTTCTCACCCAATAAGGCCTTGTTGAATGGGAGGATTAACCCTTCTTATAAACCAATAGACTTGAGTGTGCTTGTAAATGTTAGGGTTTGAGAGTCAGTTTAGAGAGTGTTTGAGAGAGGATTTGAGAGTTAGTTCAGAGAGTGTTTGAGCTGAAATTTTCTAGAATATCATTGAAAATGAAGCTTAGCTACAGTGAGTACAACGACTGACACCTATCTACTCACTACTTTACTCAAAACGACAGTGTTAGTTCTTATTGAACCAACTTACTGGAAATGACGCCATTGAGGAAGTAACCTTACAACTTTTGTGGCTAACATCCCCCCTCAAGCTAGACTGGGTTTCCAATCTTAGCTTGGTACAATTATCAAATCAGACATAAAAAGAAATTGACAATAGCAGCAAAATTTTATAGCAGCAAGTGAAACTTTTCTTCAATTAGAGCAGCAAATTTTTCTTCAAGTGTCACACTAATTTTTTTTTTCTTTAAGCAGCAAATGAGATGTGTCTTCAACACTCTTACTCTATCTTCAGTCATAATAATGTTAACATTAGAAACATCTGTAAGCTTTAACAAGATCTTCATCAATGTATTGAAATAGAGCTCATTATATACTTCATTACAGAGACTGTTAATCGGCAACTTCAAAAAATAAAACTGCCATTGCTACTCCAACACTGTTACTTCAACATGGAGGAAATTAGAGATTTCAACTTTTGATTAGCAGCCTGAAAACAAACAAACTCGACAAACAAACTTAACAAACAAAGCTTCCACTGCTACTCCAACCCTTATTACTTCAACATAGAGAAAATTGGAGCTTTCAAACAACCAAACTCAGCAAACAAAGCTGCCATTGCTACTCCAACATTTATTACTTCAACAAAGAGAAAATTGGAGCTTTCAACTTTTGATTAGCAGCCTGAAAACAAACAATTAGGAACAATCAAGAACAGTCAGTACCTGCTTTTGAACAAAAGAGCATTAATGACATGTGGGCTAGAAACCGATGCTGTCATTTGTTTACAAGAGCAATGTCGTTATTTGTGTTCACCGACTGCACCACATCAACCGTGACTGTGCAGTGTATTAAATTGAGCTGTGGACACATGTTTGGTCAAATACTTAGCATTGAAGATTGGACCGGTGAAACCCTATTGTACTGTAATTCTTGGAAGTACGTGTTCCTATGTATGCGAAAAATTATCTCGAACGTGCTTATGGGTGCATGAAAAACTGGATTGGAGCAGCAAAGCACCAACACCTTACGTTGCACACACCAGTATGACTCAGGGACTTCATCAAGTCTGTGAGGTTAATTCTGCAAAACGACTTCGCAACCAAGCCATTCGTTCTATGTATAATTTTTCATTCATGATCTTTACTATTATAGAAATGTGTGAGAACGACATCATACTCAAAAAACTGGAAACTATGTGAATCTAAGGATGAAAGAGCTATCAATAAAGACAAAAATCTTTTAACAGTTTCATCAGCGTTTGTAGTATTATTTTACGCAGGTGCTATAGCTGTGCCTCTTCCACCACATACTACTTGCATGATAATTTTTGACCGCATAGAAAAACAACAAATTTATGAGCCATTGAACAGATGACAAGCAAAATTAAGAAAAAAAAAAGAAAAAAAAAAAAATCCAACTTACTAATTATCACCACAGAGAAGGCAATCCACTCGCTCTTATGCCAATTCTAATTAATAAGGGGGTGTTTTTGGTCTAAGCGTTAAAAGCTGGTCGAAATTGCTTATAAGGCTGGGATCAACTGTTACTAACGCTGGTCAAACTATGCTTATAAGCTCTACAAATTAAGAGACTGTTTGTTTATAATTTTTGCTTATGGGTGGGAGGGGGAGGTTTATATAGTTGAGCTTTAAGGCACAAAACAAAAATAAAAAAAAAAAAGTTGCGGGAGGAGACTGGTACTTGTTTTTTTTTTTTTTTTTTTGGTTATAAGACACTCTGCTCTATAAGACAAGTGTGCACCAATATTCTTACCATATTTCTTTGTTATTTTAAAATTATAGTAACATTGTTTAATGTAGTACCTTTTGTATTTATTTATAATAAAAGTAAGTATAAGCCACATTTTACCAAACACGTCAATCTTATCAGGAACTTTCAAGTGCTTTACACAAAACACGTAATTGCTAAAATTTCAAAATGATATAAGGACTAAAATAGCTCATAAGTACTTGTCTATATAACTAATTTCATAAGCTCAGACAAACACCCCAAATATTGCATGTCTGGAGCCTAGTCTAACTTAGCTGTCTTCTTCGGTTAGATAAATGTAAGTTAATAATATCAAAGTCAAATACACATAAATGTAAATCTCACATTCATGTTAGTAAAAAAATTAAAAAAATTCAAGTTTTTTTGCAGGTTGATGAGCGGTTATCGGACCAACTTACGCTTTCATGCTAGGTAGTTAGAGTATGAGCCTCATCCTTGTCGCTTAAGGCTTTGTACCTAAGGTGGAGAGGACAATTTACCACCTTGCCTGGTCGCACAATTTACGATTTTAGTATATATTATGAGCATCAACAGATTCAACCGAATGGTTTTGAGGATATGGTGTAATTAAAACTAATCAATTAGTTAAGTTAACATAATAAAAGTGTTTGATAAACTCATTCTAAAACTGAGTAAATCGAAGTGCTTATAAAAGATCAGATTGTTAAAAGGATTTAAAAGATGATTTGGCTATAACAAGACAATTGGTACTTATATAAATGTTTTTTAATGACGAAAATAATGAAACAAACAATATAATTTAGTTGAATAAATCATTTATCATTTAGTTTAAAATTAAAAATAAAAACGAAATGGCACCATTGGCGATGGTCGACGGACAAGTTCAAATCCACATTGATCGGTAGTCTAACATGGAAAAATATGACCCTTTGGATCACTGAGGTACCACTCAGGCACTAAGAAAGCCGATATTACATGGAATCGGGGGCTACATCCATATGGCAAATTTACGGCCTAATTTCACCGCATCTTTAAACAAATGAGCATTGAAATCTAATGAAATCGCCAGATTCCAATGGATTAGAAACCTTTCACGCTTCGATGGGTCAGCATGGCACCAACGCGCCACCCTGATTTGCGTCGACCTACGATTTCAATGTGATTGCCCTCGTTGATCGAGGGTTCAACGAATGTTGACAGCATCGGCGACCGTCAATAGTTTTCAATCTTTACTTTTAATAATTTTTATATATTTTATTAAATTACTTATCAAACATAAAACTAGAGGAACAATAAATAATTTACGCTCTTAAAATGCCGTTTTTTGGTCCATTTTAATGCCACAAATGATTTCAACCTTTATTTCACCAAACCTAAAGCTATTTCCACATTATGTTTACAAAAAATTCGTTTCAAAGGTTTATTTCTAAAGGTTGATTACACGGGGAAAATACAGCATCGTCAAAAACCTTAAACTTTTTGCTTAAAAATCTGAATAACATTAAGCTTTCCCTAACGGATCGAGGGTTAGGCGACAATTAATACAGAGTGTGTATTGCACAATTTGATATATTTGGTTATGCTAAAATTTCCTTATATAAGGCTGAGGGGTAACTTAAACAACCTCCTATTAACAATCGTACAACTAAACAAATTTCATAACAGTTGTTTTAATATTTGAGTAATTCTAATATTAAAACTAAATGTCTTGTATTATAGAATAGGATTGATATTAATACAAAGATAAATTATTGAAGGGATTACTTGAAATGTTTATAGAATATGTGTTGGTTAGTTTGGACTAAGGATAGTTACGTTACATTGATATGTTTGGTTATGGGATACATTGGTGGGTACGTTAATAGATTATAAATGACCCTTTTTTAAAGATTAATATACTATATGTTTGTAATCAGTTTACCCCACAGAAATTGCAATTTGCTAAACACCCGCATGAAAAATGGTAAAGTTTGAACAAAACACCCCCACACCCCAAGCCATGTCGGCAATACCCCCATTGATTGCCCCCTGACAATCAACAAAATCGGGGGCGACGACTGCCAAGAGTCTTAAGTCCAAAAATGGCCATATCTAGCCATTCATGACCAAGATGTGGCACTTTCCGGCCAAATTTGGGGCAGTTCACAGCCACATCCTTAGTAGGAAATGGCTAAGAAAACGCGTTAATATATTGTCTTCTAATTACAACAGTAATTACTATTGGCTTTGTAAGTGAAGATGTCAAAAATCTTATATTACGTATGACACCAGCACGTAATGAATAATGGTAATATAAAAGACATTCATCTTAGTCATCCCCCATTACCCCAACCACACACACCTATTCTTTCTCGTATTGCAAAAAAGACATGACTCTCATTCGTATTCACCATATCTAGTTGCCATTAGACAGTAATAAAGGACACATGAATTGATGTGCTCAGCTTGATCGTTACATTATAGAGATAAAGGCGATAGAAGAAGACTACTCTGTATGCCACTTCGCCAGAACTGTCATGGATATTTATTATGGTTTTGTGTGCAACCAAAATACTGTGGCGAATAACGACACAGTTTACAAAATGCATATTTGTTCATTCAATATGATATGCATG